ATTTTGCAAATGCACCTATTTCCAGATAATCAAAATTTCGGACATTATGAACTATGACAAAGATTTTAGGACCAAAATTATCAAATGATTTCCTTTAACCTTATAGGAGGGACAATTCATGAACCCTGTGTGATTCTTAAGAAGCTCAATAATTTTCTGGTGTTAATCTAATTGATAAGGATGGGATCCCACTGGGAGATCTAAGTGGGATTGATATGCCATTTCACGAGGATCCCAGTCAGCGGGATCCTGGTACCATTATCCCACCAATATTAATTTACATCCTACTTAAATGATGATATCCCACTTGGATTTGATCATCCAACGGGATCCCACCGGGATCCCGGTCGGATCTCAGTTTGATTTTTACTGTAGGGTTATGATGCAATTTAAACAATGGTATTAAGATAAAGGGTTTTTGCTCATGCAGGTTCCCTTTATTTCATCTTATTTTGCCAATTTTGAGTATTGTTTAAAGCTCTCTGAATAGTATATATGTCTTGTAAATTTGTTAAATACATGTAGTGTTGTTACTGTATTTAGATAATTGATTATGCTATTCTTAGAAAGAATTATTTTCTTATTCTATCTTTATATAATTATATGATTAAATAAACTTTCTGTACAGCAGTACCACAATTTACTTTGGAACGATTTTAGATAAATTTCATTCTAACTTGATTTGTACTACATAAATTCAAATGATTTCAATTTTGTGTTCAGAATTTAGACAGTTTGAATAATTTAAATTCTTGGCAACCAAAATTTGATTTACTGGTTTCTGAGAAGTATTTGTCTCCTTACAAGTGCTTTAAACTTGCTATATAATTATATTTTATGATATTGGCTTTTATAAGTCTCATTGTGCATTGCACATACTGTTTGGCATCATTTTCATATGTAATCATGTTTATTATTATGCCCCCATTTTGAAAAAAAGGGGGTATATTGCTTTGCACTTGTCGGTCCGTCGGTCCGTCGGTCCATCGGTCCGTAGACCAAATGGTTTCCGAGTGATAACTAAAGAACCCTTAGGCCTAGGAACTTCAAACTTGGTATGGTGATTGGTCATGACCAGTAGATGACCCCTATTGATTTTGGGGTCAAGGGGTCAAAGGTCAAGGTCACATTGACCTTGAAAGCAAAAAAACGGTTTCCGATCAATAACTAAAGAACCTTAAGGCCTAGGAACTTCAAACTTGGTATGGTGATTGGTCATGACCAGTAGATGACCCCTATTGATTTTGGGGTCAAGGGGTCAAAGGTCAAGGTCACATTGACCTTGAAAGCAAAAACGGTTTCCGATCAATAACTAAAGAACCTTAAGGCCTAGGAACTTCAAACTTGGTATGGTGATTGGTCATGACCAGTAGATGACCCCTATTGATTTTGGGGTCAAGGGGTCAAAGGTCAAGGTCACATTGACCTTGAAAGCAAAAACGGTTTCCGATCAATAACTAAAGAACCTTAAGGCCTAGGAACTTCAAAACTTGGTATGGTGATTGGTCATGACCAGTAGATGACCCCTATTGATTTTGGGTCAAGAGGTCAAAGGTCAAGGTCACATTGACCTTTGAAAGCAAAAAACGGTTTCCGATCAATAAACTAAAGAACCTTAAGGCCTAGGAACTTCAAACTTGGTATGGTGATTTGGTCATGACCAGTAGATGACCCCTATTGATTTTGGGGTCAAGGGGTCAAAGGTCAAGGTCACATTGACCTTGAAAGCAAAAAACGGTTTCCGATCAATAACTAAAGAACCTTAAGGCCTAGGAACTTCAAAACTTGGTATGGTGATTGGTCATGACCAGTAGATGACCCCTATTGATTTTGGAGTCAAGGGTCAAAGGTCAAGGTCACATTGACCTTGAAAGCAAAAACGGTTTCCGATCAATAACTAAAGAACCTTAAGGCCTAGGAACTTCAAACTTGGTATGGTGATTGGTCATGACCAGTAGATGACCCCTATTGATTTTGGGGTCAAGGGTCAAAGGTCAAGGTCACATTGACCTTAAAAGCAAAAAACGGTTTCCGATCAATAAACTAAAGAACCTTAAGGCCTAGGAACTTCAAACTTGGTATGGTGATTGGTCCATGATCAGTAGATGACCCCTATTGATTTTGGGGTCAAGGGTCAAAGGTCAAGGTCACATTGACCTTGTAGGTAAAAACGGTTTCCGATCAATACCTAAAGAACCTTAAGGCTTAGGAACATTAAACTTGTATGGTGATTGGTCATGATCAGTAGATGACCCCTATTGATTTTGGGGTTCAAGGGGTCAAAGGTCAAGGTCACATTGACCTTGTAGGTAAAAACGGTTTCCGATCAATAACTAAAGAACCTTAAGGCCTAGGAACTTCAAACTTGGTATGGTGATTGGTCATGATCAGTAGATGACCCGTATAGATTTTGGGGTCAAGGGGTCAAAGGTCAAGGTCACATTGACCTTTTAATTAAAACGGTTTCTGATCAATAACAAAAGAACCTTAGGCCTAGGAACTTCAAACTTGGTATGGTGATTGGTTATGACCAAATCAGATGACCCTATTGATTTTGGCGTTAAGGGGTCAAAAGTCAAGGTCACATTGACCTTGTAGGTAAAAACGGTTTCCGATCAATAATGAAAGAACCCTTAGGCCTAGGGACTTCAAACTTGAGATGGTGATTGGTCATGATCAGTAGATGACCCCTATTGATTTTGGGGTCTAGGGGTCAAAGGTCAAGGTCACATTGACCTTGTAGGTAAAAAATGCTTTCGGATCAATAACTTAAGAACCCTTATGCCTAGGAACTTCCAAACTTGTATGGTGATTGGTCATGACCAGCAGATGACCTATTGATTTTGGGGTCAAGGGGTCAAAGGTCAAGGTCACATTGACCTTGTAGGTAAAAACGGTTTCCGATCAATTAACTAAAAACGCTTAGGCCTAGGAACTTCAAACTTTGTGTGATGATTGGTCATGACCAGCAGATGACCCCTATTGAGTTTTAGGTGAAGGGGTCAAAGGTCAAGGTCACATTGACCTTTTAAGTAAAAACGGTTTCTGATCAATAACTAAAGAACGCTTCGGCCTAGAAACTTCAAACTTGGCATGGTGATTGGTCATGACCAGCAGATGACCCCTATTGATTTTGGGGTCAAAGGTCAAGGTCACATTGACCTTTTAAGTAAAAATGGTTTCTAATCAATTACTCAAGAACGCTTAGGCCTAGGAACTTCAAACTTGGTATGGTGATTTGTCATGACCAGCAGATTACTCCTATTGATTTTGGGATCAAGGGGTCAAAGGTCAAGGTCACAATGACCTTGTAAGTAAAAACGGTTTCTGATCAATAACTAAAGAACGCTTCGGCCTAGAAACTTCAAACTTGGCATGGTGATTGGTCATGACCAGCAGATGACCCCTATTGAGTTTTGGGTCAAGGGGTCAAAGGTCAAGGTCATGACCAGTAGATACTTTATTACCCTTATTAATTGTTTGATCACTGGGTCAGACGTCATGCATAATAACCTTATCACATGACTAATTGGCTGCTGATAGGGGGCATACATGTTTTACAAACATATCTTGTTAGATAACTAATGTGTTCCATGAGAAGGTTAAGTGTCCAAACTCCTGTCATTCTAAGTTTCAGTTGGTCTTGTAAAGTAAATTTGAATTTTATTACTGAAAAGTAAATTCTGAAAAAATGTTTCTCCAATATTCTCGATAACTCGTTCTTCTGAAGAAATTGTGATGAATCAGATATTTCAATATAATATTGTACAGTGATATTTCAATATAATATTGTACAGGGGAATTTAAGTATAAAATTGTACAGAGGAATTTCAATATAATATTGTACAGTGATATTTCAATATAATATTGTACTGGGGAATTTAAAATGATATTGTACTCTAATTTTTTACAGGGGAATTTCAAAAAAATATTGTACATGGGAATTACAATATGATATTGTACAAAGGAATTTCAATATAATATTGTACTAGGGAATTTCAATATAATATTTTACAGTAGAATTTCAATAGAAAATTGTACAGGGAAATTTCAATAGAATATTGTACAGGGGAATTTCAATATAATATTGTGAAGGGGAATTTCTATATAATATTGTTCAGGGGAATTTCAATATAATATTGTGAAGGGGAATTTCTATATAATATTGTTCAGGGGAATTTCAGTATAATATTGTACAGTGGAATTTCAATATGATATTATTCTGGGGAATTAGAATATAATATTGTATGGGGGAATTTCAATATGATATTGTACAGTGATATTTCAAAATAATATTGTACAGTGAAATTATAATACTTTACTCGGGAATTTCAATATAATATTGTACAGGGGAATTTTAATATAATATTGTACTGGGGAATTTCAATATAATATTGTACTGGGGAATTTCAATAAAATATTGTGCTGAGGAATTTCAATATAATATTGTACTGGGGAATTTCAATATGATATTGTACTGGGGGATTTCAATATAATGTACTGGGGAATTTCAATATGATATTGTACTGGGGAATTTCCATATGATATTGTACAGGGGATTGGGGCTTTACATTGCATTGAAAAGACTGTTGTGTGTTAATAAGTCTGTTGTATACATAGATGCATTCAAACTATCCAAGCATTTTCCCGAGATTGACAGACAAACTACTTTTAAATAGGAGACTCATAGTTATATAGTAAAAAGTGTGGTTTTTGTTATAAACCAGCTTTCTCTAAAGGATATCTTTAAATATCACAAATAGAAAATAACCATTATTCTTCTTGTATTTATAATGCACAAGTCTGTTTTAGATATGCAAACTTAATTCTTGAATCAAAACATAATTGTTAATATACTCATACTGAAACAACTAGATTATATAAGGAGTTATTTTTCATCAGGAATTAGTTCTTATTTTCATTAACAACTTTCTCAATGTGTTCACTTGAAAATTATTTTCTGAAACATTTTATGAATTTACTTAATTGTATAATTACAGAGAATTTTTCATAAAGGGTTCTGGAAAAATGCACATGGGGAAACTGATGGAGGAGAAGTAAAATGTTTGTCTATTACAATATTGTTTTACATTATTAAGAGTGCCAATATTTTATTTCTTTTATTACAGTTCACAGTTACTAAGGTAACAGATTCTGAACAAAGACGAAATGCTCCTGTCACAAGTCGAGTGTCAATATTTGATACAATTGATGAAAATTCCGAGACAGTACGTTCAAATGGGCTTTCCAGTCCACACCTACAGACACCCTCACCAGTAACAGCATCACCGCATTATTGTCCAATAAATGGAGGGGTAAATAACATATTATTATCATAAATGATCAGTTTATACAGAATTTAATTTTCATTTAAGTCTGATTGTGTAGGAAGCTATAAACTTATAGACACATTCTCAAATCCATTCCTGAAACCAACCAATACTTTGCAATCATTAGCTTTATGGCAGTTAAAAGATTGAAATAAAATGTATATAAAAAGTACAGGCATTATTCCAAATGTTGACGATGAGTTTTTTAAGTCTGGCTTCGTTGTTGAACTTCCTTCCTCTGTCAGTGTCAACAAAATATAAACACATCATCTGTTATGTCTTCTTTAGGGTGGAAGCATAACACCAAACATTGGCCACAAAGCAATTTTTTCTGTCTGTACAAGTATATATTATGTACAAGTATATTTTCTCTAAATTTCTAATACTAAAGCTGCCTTGGAAATTTTCTCAATTTTTTGCTCTTGTATAAAGCAAAAGTGGATTATAAGTCATGCATACTAATGGTTATAAAGGTGGTAAATGGATAGAAGTCCATTGTCCATGTAAGCATTTTATCAGAGCAGGTACCTAGTTATAACCAAAACTGTTCTGTAATAGTTAGCTAGATTGCTGTCTGTTAAGATATAGGAAACCAAGCCAGGTTGCTTTCTGTTAAGATATAGGAAACCAAGCCAGGTTGCTTTCTGTTAAGATATAGGAAACCAAGCCAGGTTGCTGTCTCTTTGGATACTAATCTCCTTGAGCACAAGGAATCAATGTCTTGCGCAATTCAAACTATATATTAAGTCAGTGTGTGATAAGGGTGATTTTAGAGGTTGGCAACTTTAAGTACTAGGCCACATTAAATGTTTTAAAATTGAGATTTTATTTAGTTTAAGACAAAATATTGTAGATTTACTAACTTGGTTCAGTTTCAGCCTTTTCCCTTAATCTCTACCATGGCCATAATCATTAAGTTTCTTTGTCTATGGTATCATTGACTTTTTTAAAATAAAGAACTTCTAAATTCAACGTATAAGAGTGTTATATGAAGTCTGGTTAAAATGTTATTTTATTATAAACTGCAAGTTAGCATTCAAGAGTAAAATACCTTTGTTGTTTAGTATGTTTTGGAATTGCAAAAAAAATTCCCCATTTGACAAACTCAAGCTAGGTGAGTGTGCAGATTTTTAATGTTTACCCTACATTTTCTACAAAGATTAAGGAGTTTTACCTCCTGAAAGAATTGGATTGAACAACTTCAATAATTTTAATTCTCTATTTACAGGATATTTAAGTAAGACATTATTTTATTTGATATGTGTCTTTATCTGTCTAGGATATGATAACATGCATTGCAAGTGCACACAAACCTATACGCTTCTGACCGTTATATTTAACTGCAAGGGTTATCTGAGTGTGCAAAAAATAATCTTCTGTTTTACACTAATACATACCTTTTCTTTTATGTTATTATTGGTTAGTCTTGCTTTGAATTTGGAACAGTTAATGTCTGTTGATAATTTCAGTGATTTAAAAGGAACTCCACTGAGGTCCAATTAATTTCTTTTTATAGATCAACTGTGACACTTAACAAAAAGATTTGCAAAATAATGAAGAATTATACTCAGAAATAAATCTAAAATTGTAGTTTTGTGATTTTCGTAGTCGATTGATTGAAAAAAAGCTTTAGAACGCTTTTCAAATTTTTGTTTATTTGATCTCAATTAGAATAATTAATCTCAAAAAAACGGATTGAGCGTTTATTTTGAAATTTGGTAGACAAGTTATTGGTGTAGACCTTGTAACATCAATAGGAACACGGGTCTTAAAAAATTATTTTCAGTCCCGTCATGTCAAAAAACCTCAGTGGAGTCCCTTTAATAATGAGAGACAGAAATTTAACATTCATCAATAAGAAGTCGACAGATTATACCCATCAACCGGTGCAGATCAAGATCAGCTGTCTGTTCATGATCTGCACATGCACTGTTACTTAACTCAGCCTGTGATTACTTTTAAACTTTCTCTGTAATGAATGATAAATGGTTTCAAGAATGAAAGATCCACTTTGTTTGAAGGGGGTTGAGGATTAAAATATAAAATGAAAATTTTATTTAATGTGCAAAAGAAACAAAATTTAATAGTACATGCCAGATTTGAGATTCAGTGATAGTTTATAGATATGGTCAATATATAAGAAACAGTGTAATGCATGCTGTTATTGGTCAAAACGTATGATGAAAAACATCATTTGCACCTTTAATGATATATATATGCATTTTTTACTATTTCTTTTTTAACCTTAAAATAAAGATTATCATAATGTTGATACATATTTTTTTTTGTTTTTAAAGATTGCATAATATTTAAGACTCTTTGTATTTTCAATTTATCAAATTCTCTAATATTAAATTGAAAATTTAAATGTTTGAAGTTGGGACCTATTATTTAAGTGATCTACTATTTAAGTTCATTTAATACATGTTTTGCACAGAAAGTAAATTGAAGGACTTCATTTTGGATGACATAAAGTTCAAGTGCCAGTTAAAATGGCCACTCAATAAAATAAACTAATTACAAAAGTATGTAACCTTTCCATTTGTACTGTAAAGACTGACCTTTATGTTTTCTTTCAGTTCCTTCAGACAAACATAAATCATTTATAATTAAACAATATTATAACCTTGTTTTGAAAAAACAACAAACACTTATATAGGTGTGGTCAATACAGGCATCAAAAGAAAAAGAACGGGCACCCAAAAATCCAGAAATTTTCAATTTAAAACAAATAGCGTGAATATTGAATAAAAATTAAACACTTACTCATGAAGTGAAAACTAAAACGACCATAAATATTACTTCTTACAATTTTTATAAACCTAAATTTAAGGAAACAGACTGTCTCATGTCATCACTTTCTCTAACGTAAAGTCTTTAGCTTTATCGGGTTTTCCACCCCATGCTTCTTGATAAGCCTATCTGGGACACCTTAAGAGCTGTAGCTGTAGCTCCCCCAGACCTTAATGAATGGAGACCAAATTTCGACCTGTCTAACCCTAAAAGAGAAATATGATACAAAAATATTTCTCTCGCTCTTGTATAGGAAATGGATTTCCTTCCCTTAGCTTATAAGTTTTGATTTACTACAAAAAGAAATTTTTCGAAACAAAAATTCTTCTGAACTTTCAGAGATGCCTGATAAAAGCAAGTATTTCTCGAGAGCTTTTACTGGACATGTATCATTATTAGTTTTACTAATCAAAATTTTTTTACCTTTTTTCAATTGGTCAGTTTTAGACTCCCGAATAAAGATTTCAATATGATCCCGTTTAAAAACAATATCGTTTCTTCGTAAAGAAATAACTTCATTAAACCTTAAAAAACCAGAAAAACTTAATAAAGTCATTGTCATGAATCTCAAATCTAGGAGACATGTAGTATCTATATACTTTTCTACTATCAATTGTAATGACTGATTAGAAAGCGGCTCTTTAGAACAATTCATGGTGCTTAAAGATATCAAGATTCCTTCTTTAACAAAATTAACTAAAGGCGAATTGCAAGGATTTACGTATCCTGCTAATTTATGTGCATGGGAAATTCCAATAAAGCACACTGTTAATTTTTGACTGGGAGGATTATCTCTTTCCATGCAAGAAAGATAGAGTGAAAACATGATAATCAGAAGAAGGAACTGGTTTGAAATTATACTTGATACACCATTTGCAAAAAATGTTTAAAATATTGTTCATAAGACTTTAAAGTATTTAAAGCTTTAGAGTTTAAAGAAAACTTCTTAAGATTTTCATGTGCTGTAGAAAGATCCGGATGTACGTAGACAGTATCGATTTGTTTCCATACTCCCACTTTAAGAACATCTGTGAAATGTAAAATTTTTAGTGAAAATAAAATATAAAATCTTATTAAACTTTATATAAAGAAAATGTTTATATTTTAAATTCTACGACATGAATAAGAAGTTTAAGCCAACAAAAAACGCTTTAAAATGTAACTTAATAAAATTTATTTCGGTTTGAAATGTTTAAACATTCTGCTATGTAAATCCGACAAAATTGTATCGCTAACATGGTATAAATTTCTATTAAATATTACAGCCATTCCTTAAGAAAATCATGTAACAAGTAACAAATTTCCGCTTGTAAACAGTCTTAAGCATTCCCCTAAATATAACAAACTTTTCTTCTTACAAGAATACTTTAGCAATCCGCTAAATAAAACAAGCATTCCGCTTACAAAATAATATAGCATTTCGCTAATATACAACAAGCATTCCGCTTATGAAATACTTTAGCATTCCGCTAATATACAACAAGCATTCCGCTTATAAAATACTTTAGCATTCCGCTAATTATTATATAATAGAACAAGCATTCCGCTCCAAATATTTGCATTCCGCTAAACTTAAAAGCCAATCCACCTTCAAAATATTTAATATCACTTCTAGAAACACAATCAGCACTTTCAAAATTATTTAGCATTTTGCTAAAAAACTAGCATGATTAATTTACAGTGTTTTATCTTAAACTTTCCAGTCTACCACAAGGCTAAAATAGAATGGACAGTTAACCCATTAATTTCCGTGTCTGACCTGATTATTTGAACAAGCAACTCCCACGATTTCCACTGATAAAAAAATCACGAAATCATATGCAGAGAGGAAATTCATGATTTAATCACCTGTAAAAATATTTTTTTTTTTTTTTTAAATATTAAATGAACTATTCTTTACATTTACAAAAACAACCAGCATTATTTGATTCTATCCTTATAGCTAAGACTTTACTTTTAAATCTGCTAGAATCAAAAATTACTCCCGTCGATTTCAGTTTTAGTAAATATATCTTGCCTTCACTAAATTCAAGGACTTCTGAAATGAAATCTTTGTGAACAAAATTTTTTCTTAAATAACAATGGCCAAAATGGAGAACGTAGGCATTTTGGAACAACGATAGTACCTCTGCCTTTGCAATGTAACAAATGAGAAATGGTTTAGGTACCAGACGTACGGAGGAACCAGCCAG